GAACTGGAAAAATATATTACACTGAGGAAGGTAACCTGTTCTGTCACTTAACTTTCTGACTTCTCTGGGTAAAGCAACATTTTTGTCTGGTCAGGTATTTCAAGTCAGTAACCTTCACAAGTGAGCATTCAGTTACGGACATGACAACACAGAAAATCTGCAACAGACCAATAAAAAATGCTAAGCTTTAATCAGCCGTCATTAGTGCCTGTTTCACAGACATTTATTCTGTTTGTGTCATTTGGATTCATTTGGCATTTTATACAACAAACATGGACAACCATAGGCTTGAAAGAAGGGACACTCATCCATTCTTGTACACACGCACACACAAAGAAAAACAGTAATAAAGTTGATCAATTTAAAGTGAAAATGTATCACTGAAATACCTGCAAAATCATTTAAAACACCTATCTGTTCATTTTGGAAAAAGTTGATATCTAAACAAAAGAGATGAACAGGCAGTTTTTTTCTGAAAAACAACAGAAAGTACAATTAGATCTTAAAGTAGTTGTCCGTGTTTAGCTAGATTGTGTGCCCATGTTGGCTTTCCTGTTGTAATTTGTTTATTTAATATTAAAGCCTCAATCTCCAAACCATCTGTTTGTATTTGTTTTACTTACGTTATGTATTTTTTCATGCACAAAATTTATTTTTTGGACAAAGCTGACATAGCAGATATATTCTGCAGTGATTTGCTCATTTTTATTCGTTTATATTAATTCATTTGGCAAGCTTTTCTGTCCAAAGTCACGCGCAAGGCAATCCACAAATGCCAGAAACTATAGGCTCCAGAAAGCACAGGACAGTAACACTAGGGATGGGAAAACGAGGCCTCATGAACCCCAAAATGGGTGGAGCTATGCTTAGCTGTCACCGCCCATGAGTAGCAGAGTTATCAGGAATATATAAAATAAATGAGTAAATAAAAAAAGACGTTGATAACCTTGCCCTCCCTCTTCCAGCTCCTCTCACATCCAGGAGATGTTTCTGTTCAATAACTCAGGATAATTATTTTAATAACTCAGGATAATTATTTTAATAAGTGAAAAAACAGGTTTGGGGAAAAAGACAGAACTGGTGAAAGACAAGGGCCTGCATGTGGAGAAGGAGTGAAGTCATACGAGGTCAGGACACAAAGACAGATAGAAAGGCTGAGAAGAATGAAGGAGAGGAGTGAGAGTCGATTAGGGACAGATAACGAGATAAAGACAGACATGCAGGAGAAGGGATGTAAGGACAGACACAGGCTGAGAGGGTAACAGAGAGTTCAACAAGTCAGACAGGGATGTGCTTAACGAGTCAGGCAGGGATATGTTTAACGAGTCAGGCAGGGATGTGCTTAACGAGTCAGGCAGGGATATGTTTAACGAGTCAGACAGGGATGTGCTTAACGAGTCAGACAGGGATGTGTTTAATGAGTCAGACAGGGATGTGCTTAATGAGTCAGACAGGGATGCGCTTAACAAGTCAGACAGGGATGTGTTTAATGAGTCAGACAGGGATGTGCTTAACGAGTCAGACAGGGATGTGTTTAATGAGTCAGACGGGGATGTGTTTAACGAGTCAGACGGGGATGTGCTTAATGAGTCAGACAGGGATGTGCTTAACGAGTCAGACAGGGATGTGTTTAATGAGTCAGACAGGGATGCGCTTAACGAGTCAGACAGGGATGTGTTCAACGAGTCAGACAGGGATTTGTTTAACGAGTCAGACGGGGATGTGTTTAACGAGTCAGACAGGGATGTGTTTAATGAGTCGGACAGGGATGTGCTTAAGGAGTCAGACAGGGATGTGTTTAACGAGTCAGGCAGGGATGTGTTTAACGAGTCAGACAGGGATGTGTTTAACGAGTCAGACAGGGATGTGCTTAATGAGTCAGACAGGGATGTGTTTAACGAGTCAGACAGGGATGTGTTTAACGAGTCAGACAGAGATATGTTTAACGAGTCAGACAGGGATGTGCTTAATGAGTCAGACAGGGATGTGTTTAATGAGTCAGACAGGGATGTGTTTAACGAGTCAGACAGGGATGTGTTTAACGAGTCAGACAGGGATGTGTTTAATGAGTCAGACAGGGATGTGTTTAATGAGTCAGACAGGGATGTGCTTAACGAGTCAGACAGGGATGTGTTTAATGAGTCAGACAGGGATGTGTTTAATGAGTCAGACAGGGATGTGTTTAACGAGTCAGACAGGGATGTGTTTAATGAGTCAGACAGGGATGTGTTTAATGAGTCAGACAGGGATGTGCACTGTACCAGCAGATTGTAATTAGTACAGTCTTCAGCCAGGCTGATTACTGGCAGACCGAGGCCAGCGTTTGACACCTGTGTGTCTGGGTAGGGCTGGGGGAGGGGCTCAGCAACGAGATATGGATGTGCACTGAAGAGAGGGGGAAAGGGGGATGGAGAGGGAGAGTGAGCGAAAGATAGCGAGAAGAGAACACATCAGGAAGGCGAGAGAATAGAGAGTGGGAGAGAAATCGCTTCAGTGCTGTGTTGACTCTGTGGCTAATTCCCCTGCTCATTTGGCAGATGTGGGTGTTTTTTGGGTGGTGGGGTGGGGTGGGGTGGTGTGGGGGAGGAGGGAAGCGGGACTGGGGGGCACACTCAGCGCACTGTGACTCGGGCAGGGGAGCCGAAGCCTGCATTTGCGTCTGATAGATGAGTCAGGGTAGTCCCTGCCAGTTGTGCGTGGCTGTGAATCTCGGGGGGTAATTGAGTTTAGATGGGTTTGGGTAATGGGGGGTGGTGGGCAGGGATAGGTGGGGGTTTGGGGGGGGGGTGGTTCCTCAGAACCGTCTCTAGCAGGATTCTCTTACTCTCTGCTGTAGAGATATAAAGGCCGCACTCCCGTCTACCTTCAGTTATTGCAATGCGGCGTCTGCAGATTGGTTTTAATACATCCCCCTGTGAAAGGGCTGTTAAAGTGCTTTACCTGTCAGACTCCACCTGTCATCTCCAGCCACACTACAACACATCTGCTACAGCCAATCACGTGGCCCAGCAGCACTGAGTGGCATGGAGGTGGAGGCTTGTAAACTGGAGGGTTGCAGGTTCTAATCCATGGGGCTGGGGGAAAGTCAGTGTCTAAGAAGTGGAATGACTTCCCTGTTGTTTGTCATCTTCTTCCAGAGCCCAAATTACAACTGCCCTACTCTATTGCACTAACCATAACAGATAAAAATAGTGTGGCCAATAGCTATTTGTCATTAGAGTATTACTTACTCATGAGTGGATGGAAAGATATCTTGCAGTGAACCTGAGCACTCTTCTGTAAGTCATTCTGGATGAGTGTCTGCGAAATGATGAAAATATTAACAGGTAAGAAAAAAGATTAGTGTAGTTATACACAATAATCTGACAAATTATCATAATCATTGTAATTTTTCATTCATGCTGCCTGTGAATTCCCAGGATTCTCTGCTCTCTCTGGCCTGAGCTCTGGACGGCGGCGGGGCGAGCTGCTTTCTGTTGTTACCCAGCGCGGTTCATCAAACCAAGCTGATTGCACATGTAACACACATCACCTGCCTCGAAAGTGGTTGCTGATTGAAGGTGAAGACAAACATCAGTGGAACCTGCCGATTTCCAGGAGTTGCGTAAGCCGATTTTACTTCAATGTATGTATGTCTCTGTCATACTGAAGGCAGCGCAGTGAGTTTCGTGCGTTGGGTTTGTAGAAGTGAGAAATGTGCCCTTTCTAGACTTATGAAGGATCTGTATGTGGAATTCATGTAAAATATTTTCTGAGCATAGGGACTCAAGATGCCGGCTAATTCCTTCCCATAATTCCCTCCCAATGCACACACACAAAGGCCATGGGTGCGTTCCAATACTTTTTCTCGTCTCCTCGTTTCCTACCCTGGATATGTGTAGGAAAAGAGGGGAGGAAGCAAGCAGAGTTCACAGAGAAATGCGGAGATGAAATGAAAATTGGAACAGCTAATCTGATTAGTCCTTCATGAAAGTCAATCTTGGCTATTGATGAAGTCGTGTAACTTCGACTGATTCCGAGGATACATAAGCCAATCAAAATTTTCTGTGCAATGGTCTTTTAATCTAACTGGTGGTGATCGAAATGATCCTTTGTTTGGAGGTGAGGAGGAGGCAAAACTCGTCTCCTACCTTGTTGGAATAGTGGAGGGAGGGAGGACACATAGATAAGTATCCAGGGCACGGAGGAGAGGAGGAGGTGAGGAGATGAAATTTGTGTATTGGAACGCTCCCTTTGACATCTCTGTTTTGGACCTTTCGGCCCGCTGTGCTGCTGCAATGTCCCTGAGTGAAGGGCTTGAATCTGAGTTGCTTCTGTAAGGAACATTTTTCAATAAATATAAAATATGTAAGCCATCCTCAACAAGGACATCGGTTATGTAATTTCATATCTGAATAAAAAAACAAAACAGTTTTTTTCCTTGGCAGTAAAACAAGAACATTAGACTGTTTTACGTTGTTGATGTGGGTACAGTGGTGATGCTGTGGCTGTTGGGACGTTTATATTGTTCCTTACTCTGTGGAGGTGTTTCACTTGCCCTGCAGTGTAGTTGCGCTAACCTTGGCTGGGGTTGATTGGTCCAGCCTGGGCTGGTTTCATAGCACTAACCTTACTCAGGTTTGATTGCTTTAGCCCTGGCCTGGCTTGATTACAGTAGCCCTGGTTTGGGTTGATTGCTCTGGCCTTGACCTGCCTTGGTTGCGCGATCCTTAATCTGGAGCAGGGTCCCGCCTCCCCTCTGTCCTTCTGAAATTCACTGGCCTTTCAGGGGCTGCTGATTAACTTGGTGAGGTTTCTACTACACTGCTTTGAACTGCCGAAGCACTATGGAAGAAAATACCAAGCAAAAGAAAGATGGACATTTTTAAAGTGCCGGTTCAAATTGTTAAGCCACTGATCCAGGAGCTGTTCTTATTTTGGGTTTGATGAAGTCTCTCTCCCCCTAACTGTTATACTATACTACTGCCCAAACAAGAGCTGAGTCATGCTTCAGACTGCAAAGGCACGGATGGGATTTGAACCCATGATCTTTGGTTTACAAGACCAATGCCTTCCCCTTAGCCACCACACCACAGTGGGGAGAGGAATGCTAAATCAGGCATGTGTAGCAGTAAGGACCAGAGGAGGCTTCACATAAACAGAGAGGCCTTGGCAGAGAAGAGGAGGAGGGTGGGGTTGTATATCTATAAAATATATAATCTATCAAATATCCCCTGGGTCAACAGGATTCTTAAGGTCAGGTGGGCTGTTATTGCAATTGGTAAACTGACTTTCCTATTGTTACCTGAGGGTGCACAAAACGCACATTTACACGGTTAGGTACTTGACCTTCATGAATATTCAGAGCATGCATTTTATTTATTTTATTTATTTTATTTATTTAACCAGGAAGTCTCATTGAGATTCAGAATCTCTTTTGCAAGAGAGACCTGGCCAAGGTAGCAGCCAACAAAAATGTCAAAATAAAACAATACAAGACATAACATAAAACATACAGTTTTAAAAATCACAAGAGAAAATTGGGTACAGTAGCTTCACAAAAAGCAATTACATGATTCAGCTACAATGAATGGATTGTATGCATCAAATGAGATTCTGCAGGCCCTGAACTGAATTACACAGTTTCACTCATTATCCCTTTATGCAGCTGGGTATTTACTGCGGCAGTTGAGGTGCAGTGCCTCGTCCAAGCGCACAATGGCTGTGCCCTGCCTGCTGATCTGAACCTGCAACCTCTCAGTCACATATCCATCTCCCTCACAGTTACACTGTACTGCTCAAATGTTTCGCCTCTGATGATAGGAGAGCAGAGCTGTGAATGTGGGGAGCCGTGTGGGAATGTGAGGTGTGGGAGCCGTGTGGAAATGTGAGGTGTGGGAGCCGTGTGGGAATGTGAGGTGTGGGAGCCGTGTGGAAATGTGAGGTGTGGGAGCCGTGTGGGAATGTGAGGTGGGGAGCCGTGTGGAAATGTGAGGTGTGGGAGCCGTGTGGGAATGTGAGGTGTGGGAGCCGTGTGGGAATGTGAGGTGTGGGAGCCGTGTGGGAATGTGAGGTGTGGGAGCCGTGTGGGAATGTGAGGTGTGGGAGCCGTGTGGGAATGTGAGGTGTGGGAGCCGTGTGGGAATGTGAGGTGTGGGAGTCGTGTGGGAATGTGAGGTGTGGGAGCCGTGTGGGAATGTGAGGTGTGGGAGCCGTGTGGGAATGTGAGGTGTGGGAGCTGTGTGGGAATGTGAGGTGTGGAGCCGTTACACTGCCAACCCCTTCCTGCGCCGGAGAGAGGCCCAAACCGCTGGTTACCACACCCCTCAGCCCACGCCGTGCCCAAAGGGGAAATTAAATCAACAAGCTGATTTTAATTGATTTAAAACAAGCATGAGAAAACTTTATGATTTTATTACTAAGTGAACAACTGAATGCTCTCCAATATTTTTTTTCCCTAAGCATGGGGGAGACTTTTTTAAAAGAAAAGTTTGATTTTTTTTTTAAATGAGCAATAGAATGTTTTCCAAGGGGTCAAAGCAGTCATCTGTGCCATCTGTAAGTGCTTGGCTCAGTCTGGTCCGTCTGACATGGTTTCATTTGACATCTTTTCATTTCAAACTGTTTGATTCACTGATTCGTTAATGAAGAGCTCTGATTTTTTTGGATGGTAATAGAGGCCATCCTCAATCTGTTCTCTTAAAATTACGCACAGATGGAAAACAACCTCGAGGTCTGTCTAGAATGTTCTATATGAAAGGGAATTAAAGTTTAAAGACTTGAGCTCCAGAAGCTGAAAAATCTGTCATTCAAACTATGTCCAGTAATGTGTTTTAAGTCATTTATCAACAAGTTATGTGCGACACAGGAAGTTGCTAGAAAAAACAAAGAGAATAGGAGAGACCAGGGACAGCTGCGGCAAAGGGCCAGCTTCACTTAAGTAACTTTTGATCACTTTACTCTCAGGCAATATTGCAAGCTCAGTGCTTCTACCTGAGGTGTTTTTCTAGCAGATGAAGAGAAGTAAAAAGTGTTCCTCCTGCCCCTGGACTCCTCTGGAGAACGCACAGTTTCAGTAATTAATTTAGCGCAAGAAACTTTGTCAGCCACAAAAGCAAACACAACAGCTGGTGCGTGTGTGGGGATTTGGAGACCAACACTTGCGGCCGGAGGGGTGTTGCATCAAGTCTTAATTTGATGCAGTGTTCTCTGGGGTAATGCACTTAACCTGAATTACTTCAGTAAGTGTGCTGCGGTATTAATGGCTAACCCGCAGCGCGAGAGCGGACTGTCTCACATCACAGAGGCCTGCCGAGTGACTGCATTATGCATGATAATGTGGCGGATTAGCCTGCCCGCGTGCGCGCTAACCTCTTTGTGACAGCGAGGGAAGCCACAATCACATTACTGAACAGCCCATAATATTTCATCAAAGATATTAGGGGCCCTCTTGACTCCTGTGGTTTTTTTCCACCATATATCACATCCTGTAGTTTGAGTTTGGTGTTACACAAGGATCCAAGTCAGGAAAAGTGACATGGCAGTGAAAGTTTAAGTATTTTTCCATGGAAGTGCATATCCAGACTTCCCCTTCTGCCCTCCTCCCTTAAATACCACAAATGTGATCTCCCTCCCTGTGTGTAAAGTTACCAAGCAAATGAAGCCTGTTTCTTTTCAAACGGGTTTGGTGAACTCGTACATCACCACTCTCTGCTGCTGTTTTTGGCCGTTTCTTTGAGCAGAAGCAGGAGGTAAGAGGTAAGCTCAGCCGTGACGGTTTTGTTCAGCAAACAGCGGCCAGGTTCATCACGCTCTGCCTGCAGCGGCCTGCAGCATAGCCCTGGCTCCTGTGTGCTTTCCACAGCGCTGGTGTGTGACAGTGGGAAACAGGCTGGAGAGATATCCAGATCAGACAGGAAGCAGTGACTTTCTGACCCTCCACGCCCCAGTCAGAGACCAGGCCTGTCATTCACACCGTCTGACGGCTGACAGCAGGAAAAGCCAAACTCCGCTGGCCCCACCCACCTTCAGGGCAATGCACCTCAGTCTGTCCTGCTGAGTCTATTCCACAGACCATTCCGGCCACAGTCACTGGCCCAACAGCCAGTGAGACTGCTCCTCTCTGCTCCTCTCTGCTCCTCTCTGCTCCTCTCTGCCCCTCTCTGCCCCTCTCTGCTCCTCTCTGCCCCTCTCTGCTCCTCTCTGCTCCTCTCTGCCCCTCTCTGCCCCTCTCTGCTCCTCTCTGCGGTGCTTGTTACTGCTGCCCAGTGTGTTCATCGCAGACCACAAAATTAGCCTTGCAAATCCCCCGGGAAACAGGAGCGATATAGTCACGCAATGATAACGAAAAAAAAATGTCACGTTTACACCACGTTTGCAGAAGTATAAAAATGAAGTTGATAAGGCAGCTTTAACTATGCTTTTTATTATTATTGCTTGAAGAAAGTGAAGTTTTTTGGTATGAATTATAGAGTTTTATTGTCCATATGCTCCCTAACATAGAGAGCATTTGGGTGAGTGGAATGTTTACTTTAGCCTGTGCAAACTGTCTGTCAAATAACTGATGTGGATGACAGGGCAAAGTCGGGTTTACCATGATGCTCAAGACAAGTTGACAGTGGCAGAGTGGTAATGATGGTGATTATGATAATTATCTGTTCAGAGGGAAATGAGGGCCCGTTTTGGCTGATTACCACCCTCAGTAAATCAGTAAACGCTGACGCTGATGGGCTGGTGGGTCGGCAGGGTGGTGTGCTGATTCATTCAGTGTTGACTGTTCCTCTCTCTCAGGTCTGTGTGTGCGTCTAGCTCACCTGAGGGACATCCTGAGCCAGAAGGAGAACCTCCTCCTCCAGCCTGACCTGGCGCAGGTATGCCAGCCTCCCTGTGGTGTCCTCTTCCCCAGTGCCAGGACCCTCAGGGTGGTGTTTGACAGCAGACCTATCCTCGCCAAGAACATCGCAATAGCGCTGTTGGCACCGAAGACTCCCCCTTTATGACATCAGGAGACTCCTCCCCACTCTCTCCATCTCCTCAGCCCTGCTCCTAATCCCTCAACGCTGCCCTCCTCTGGAATATTTATGCAATACACCCTGATCTACGCACCTGTCATCAACTTATCAGTTTGTCTGGGTAAGAATGTCTGGGGCTGACCTTAATTAGTTGATTGGAAAGCTGATATATTGTCTGATTGGTTGATCGGTTCATTGTCTGTTTGGGTATTTGCATTTACCTTTAGGCATTTAGCAGACACTTATCCAGAGAATCTCAGAAAAGGAGGATGGAGAGAGGGTGGAGGATGACTGAGGGCTGCTCCTCCTCTTTGGCTGCTCTTCCTCTGTGACTGCTCCTCCTCCATGGCTGCTCTTAGTAGTTTCTGTCCCTTCCCTCAGTCCAGGGAGACTGCAGGAAACAGGGTTATGCTTCAAACCTGTCACTACCTCTGCTTATGGTGACTTCATTAGGCAGGCTGCCGTTTTCCAGTGTGTCCCATTGCCAAAATCATTACAGTGAAAAGCCAGTGAGCAGCTACGCTCCCTCGCCTCGTGGAGCAGATGTAGGATCCGTGTGCACAGTGGAAGCTGCCAGTCCGAGGCATCTTCTCATTAAAGCACTTTCATTTCAGACTGAGAAACAGATTAATTGATTGATTCATTCATTGAAAATACCCACACAGCATGTTATTTATGTAATTTATCATTAAGGTTGATTGTTCTGCTTGGTTTAGATTTTTTCTGTATTCAGAATTGACTTTGCCCTTTTTTTTCGTAATTGTTAAATATTTTAGTAACCCTCGCAGTGGTTCTGCCAGCAGGGAGACGGTGTGTGAGAGCGTGGTGGGCCTCCTCGTGCTGGTTCTGCTCACCTCGGCGAATGTGGAGCTGTGAGCGTTCCCTGAGTCAGCACGGTATCCGCGGTATGGGTCTGAGTGGGTGGATGGGTCAGTGCCTCCTCTCAGCAGTACCTCTCACCCTCCACCGGGGGCAGGCTTCTCACATGATCCCCACAACACACACACATTCAGTGTTCTTCCACGAAGTTGTGTGTGTGTCTAAGTTGAGTGAGAGTTCATAAATTTGTATGTGTGTGTGC